TCCTAGTCACAACCACCTGTTCTGACTATGGTTCACCCTTCGGACCACTCGCGTTCTTATTTATGTATCGATCTTATGTTCAGAAACCGTCTCCGAGCTGACTATTGATGTGCAATAGCGGGTAAGCACGTTCTTCGGCCGATCAACATCATCCTCACAGACTACTGAATTACCTGCCGACCACCACGGATGAAACAATCGATACACTGATTCTCCAACAGTACCCACCGAGAGGAACTTATTACCCCTCTATAATTGCTGTAATTCTCCTATACTCGCGAGCCAGAGGGCCTTCCTTTCTCAAGAATATAATAAAGAGTGCAATTTCTCATACATCAGAACAGAACTCCTCCAATGACGTGAATCTAGAATGCAAATTTAATGTAATGGTACTTAATTTAAGTGTTCGATGTAGTATGCGTAAAATATGCATGTAAACTATCAGTAAAAGTCACTTTTCTTGTATAACAAAATGCTCATTGTACTTTTTTTTTTACTTTCAGATGAACATTTACATGAATATTTCAAAACTTTTATATAAATGTCGTAGTTGCCAAAAATCCTTTAATTCAACAATCTACTCGAAAATTCATACGGTAAAAATCTACAATTGAAAACTAGATTTCATATAGGCAAAACATCCATAATAAGTACGATATTTAAAAATCACACTGTGAAAAATTTGTAAAATTTGAGAAAAAAATACATTTTTTGTTAATATTTTTTATAAACTTATTGGAATTGAAATCTGAGAGACAAGAATCTAGGTGTCAGCATGGAGCTCTACAATATTTTAAATTAGCCTACTATAAGAATCTCGGACCTTGGCCTCCAGATTCCTTCCATCTCTTTCTCAATCTTCTTTCCCTTCCCCTCATCCCTTCTTCAACAAGCTTGGGATGGTGGTGAAATGAGCAAGTTAAATGAAATATTTTACTATTTTGGCCTACTACCACGGCGCACAACTTTTCCAGCACTGCAACACTCCAGAGAATATATGAATATGCTCACCTGAGGCCTAGTGCCACAACAGAGTTTCCTAGCACCGCAGTGTTTGCCAATTTTTTTTCTAAAAATTAGAGATCTCAGTGTCGGGGCATCACATCCCGTAGCGCCGCGACGCCCATAAAACAAAAATCTAAACTTGGATTTTTCTCATTTTTAATCTCAAGCCTTGGTTACTCTACCCATTCAATATTTTAAGACTCATAAGTACCATTTAACTTAAAATTGATGATTAGTTATATAAAATTGCCTAAATTTGATGACGGATACTGCAATTTCTCTCCTTCCTCTTTCTCTCTCCAACTCTCTCTCTCTCACTTTCGCTTTCTTCTCTCTCCTATTCTCTCTCTCTCTCTCTCTCTCTCTCTCTCTCTTCCCTCTAATAGTTGTTCTCTAGAAAGAGAAAATTAAAGAACACAAAAAGCAAAAGAAAAAATCAGCGGGCAGCGGGCACGGGGCGCGGGCTGGCACGCGGCGGGTAGAGGACAGAGGCGGGATTTGAAATTTTTTGAATTAAACGGGTTCGCGGGTTGACCTGGCAACCCGTCGGGTTAACCCGAACCCGACCCGTTTTTTAAACGGGTCAATTTCTGGAACCTGAACCCGACCCGTTTTGAAATCGGGTCGGGTTCAACCCGGATTTTCCGGGTCGGGCCCGGGTTAGGTTTTCGTGTCGTGTCAAATATTAACACCCCTACCTAATATACGTGCAATATGAAATCATACAAATTTCACAAAAGAAAATTATCAACAATAGATTCTTAGCTAAAACCCCAAAAAAATCTTCTACATTTTTTTTTCTTTCTTCACCTCATTTTTTTGATAAATTATTTTGTACGGGCACCGAACGGAAAGAACAGTCCAGTTTGTCTGTGTACAACAAATTACGCTTTTTTACTGTTCATACTATGCCTTTATTATTCACAGAGACAAAATCATACCGTTCTTCCCGTCATGCATCCGCAGAGAACAATCTCTTAATTTTTGCCACTGCCTGTGCTTCTGCAGCTTCACTAGATTTCCACCTACAGCTATGGTGCATTAATAGCATAAACAGTAAAATAAAAATGTAAATTTTAGAAAAATAAAATGATATGTATAAATAGATTTATGTATAATATTGTTTCTATAAGGTCTTATATGTCAAAATAATCTAAATTATTTCTATAAGCTATTATATGTCAGAATAATCTAAATGAAGTGTACTATATTATAAAAATAATTTTGTAGGATTTTGAGATACACGAAAAGTGCGGTATAATTTCATGGAAATTTTTAAGCGTATCTTATTGCTATTTTTTGGGCATTACATGAGCTATAAGCTCATGTCCATGACGTCTTATAACGCTGATAATATATTTCATTTTTAGTAGGGGTGTCAAAAAATATCTCGACTCATCAACCAGACCCAAAGAGTTCAGGTTCGAGTTCGGAATCCTAAGATGTTATTGAATTCCTTAGTAAATAGGGGACTTATAAAGAAAAAATAAAAAATAAAACGATTTATCACAAAAAATTATAATTAAAATGATGCCCTCTATGGCAGGAAGTTGAATATATACTAATAGAGGACCTAAATAAGATAAAACAAAAGAAACTTTTGAGCACAAAGTTGAGAATTAAAATGATATTAAGCTAAAATCAAAATCACAAATAATAAAAATGAGATTGATTACGAAAATGAGAATAACATTAAACTTATAGGGGGCTTGCAATGAACTTATAGAACTCGTCTATGGGTAAAAATAGAATTATCAAAACTCTTTCAACTTGAAAAAGTTTTAAGAACTCTCTAGATTGAATTGGACTTGGGGCGAAAAGGAACTCGAGGGCTCTATTTATAGAGAAATTATTTCATACAGAGTCCGGATGTAGAGATACGTCCGGACATCCACTTAAAATTTGACACGTGAAATGCACTTTGGTTGCATTTTTTTGTGCGCTTTACTTATGCTTTACATGTGCTTTAGTTGCGCTTTGACTATTCTTTTGTTACGATTTTTTATTGCGATTTGCCTACATTTTTTATGTGTTTGGCTTAAAGTTCTACCGACACATTAAATATATAAAATAAAAAATAAATTCAGTTGAATATTCATGAGTTCACTCCACGTGCCAACGTTTTATTGGAGTCCAGATGTACACCTACGTCTGGACTCAGCACGAAATAATTTCTCCTATTTATAACATAAAAATTTGATTTTTTTTTTTGGGGCCCATTTAACTAAAACTGATTAGTGTGAAATAGAGCGCACAATTTGGTCATTATCCAAGTCAATTGGGGATTTAATTTGGACCATCCAGTGTATGCTTTCTAGAAGAGAAAAAAAAGACCAAAGATTCCTCCTAAAATCTCTAAATAAGTCATATTCCAACACACTCAGGAAAGATTTTCAATATATAGAAGTATTGATCGCCTGATCTCACCTTTCTAGTTTTTTATTGCTCTCAATTTTTGGTCATTCATCACTTGATGTTTTACCATGGCCTAAATCTTCATTGAAGCTTGTGGACTATTGATATCCAACTCCCATAATTGTCTAACTTTTGTTGCCATCATATGTTCTAGTAAACTCCAACATCTTAAAACTCCCTCCACCATCACCTTATGTTTGATTCTCAATATACTGGTTTCATGACTTCTCTAATTTTAGGGTATTGTGATTCTTTGTAATCTTCTACTTGCATTGCATTTTAACCAGTCTGATTGCGTGTGTAATTTTCATTCAAAGTTTAATTAATAAATCCTCTCTCTGCTACTACAAAATTTTCATTCCTATTTAGTTTCCACTTGTTCGATCTTCTTCACCGGCTTCTCCAATGGGTCGTGTCTCCTCCTTAAAGGAGAATGACCTCTCTCAGTCATCCATTGCCCAATGATTGTTACTGCATAATGACTAAGAAGAATGGCTCATCAACGATCAAAATCCGACAACTGCCATCGCCCTATGTTCACCTCTTTGAAACATCTATCGTCAACTCCAGCATCTCCAAACTCCCACCAATACCTGCACCACGAGAGAGGCTCCATAGAGTTCAAGCATCAATATATTTTGTAATATCCTCTAATTTTAATGAAGGAGCATCCTTTATAATTTTATATTATGACTAGTAAAAATAATGTATGTATTTTAATGGATAATGATCAGGTCATAATAAAAATATTCGCAAATTTCAACAATTTCAATTAAAATAAATCTTATAATTCTTTCTCTTCTTATATTCTGATGCAAAAGTTTCTCTCTTATGCATTGAATTTAACAAATCTGATTATATCTGAAATTTTCTCTGAAGCACCATTACCACAGCGATAGACATACCTATTCTGATATAATTTTCTTCATTCAACCGAACTCCACAGTGGACATCCTTTCATTCAGAAAATTAATAAAATTATTTAGAAAAATGGTGCACAAAGTGTCCAATTTATCATGTCCATATTTAAACAAAGTAAAATGCATCAGATAAAAAAAAAAGAAAAAAAAAGAACAAATTAGTAGTTTTTAAACGTATATATATGAATTCTTTTTGCATAATCCTTTAAGATTATGAAGCTTAGGCCATAAATTTATAAATATAAATTTTATCAAAATTCATAGCAAAAATCATTACATATCTAAGAAATTTATTATTCTATACGTCTACAGATAAGTTCAACAGTGCTGCTACAAGTGAATGTAGTCATTCAAATAAGATTTTATTTGGAATTGACTTTTTTTCTGCTTCTTAAAATATCTTTTTAGTACAAAAAATTTTATACTAAAAAACTGCTTTAAGCATAAAAAAAAATCGTCCCGAACAAAGCCTAAGAAGTCCTCTCATAGCTTTCGAAACCACGAAAGGAACAAAAGCACATACTGAGTTCGGATAGTAGGATGGATGATTGCTGATTGAAGAAAAAGCAGCAGCAGCCATTCACTCCATACAGACTATGGCTTCATTTGAAACAACTTTAAGTCGTTATTTTTTTCCACTTTATAGAAATTTTTTACTAAAAAATAGCTTTACAAAACAATAAAAAAGCTGTCCCAAACAAAGTTTATAACTCATTGCTTTTCAGAATCTGAAAGCCTGTTTAACCAATGCAGACCAAGATCGCATCCAACTTCTGCAGCAATCCGAAACTGCTCTTTTGCCATCTCCACTGCATCTTGTTTCTGCCACTTTACTTCCTTCTTCCTCGCACCACCAGTGGAAGGGCTCCTGCTTGAATTAAACCTCATTATAACTTCTGGAACTTCATATCCTGTGATGCCAAAAGCTGCTGGTTAGAACCATAAAGAGTGTACTACAACAACAACAACAACAACATCAAGCCTTTATCCCACTACGTGGGGTCGGCTAGATGAATCTTTTTTCTCCATTGTGTCCTATTAAAAGTCAAATTCTCATTTAAATTTAATAAAGAAATGTCATTCCTAATATTTTCTAACCAAGTCTTTTTAGGTCTGTCTCTACCTTTCTTAACATAAGTCAAATCTAATACCTCTACCCCTAACAGGGTCATCGGAAGGCCGCCGTTTTATGTGACCAAACCATCTAAGACGACTCTCTCTAATCTTATCTTCTACTAGAGCTACTCCAAGCTCATTTCGTATCCTATCTCTAAGGGTAAAGCCACTCATCCACCTGAGAACCATAAAGAGTGTAAGGACAATATGTAAGTGATGTGAATTGAACACCAGAGCAGTTCATCTGTTATGTTTCAGATCACAAACAATAAACTGTGCAGTAAAAACTGTTAGGTACCTTTTAAAAGGAGCGAACCGTAAGCAATTGCAGCTCCAGCATGGCCCTGTAGATCAAGTAGGAATTCAAGAAGAAAGAACAAGGAGCAGTAAATTGCAAATTGCATCATAATTCAGATGAAAGGCTCAATGAAAACAACTGTATGTGTTCCAATTCATTTGCTAGAGTTCCATGGTGAAGTTCTTTTTAGTTGATGGTGTTGGATAGCCTTTTAATGAGATAAAATAGTTGCAAATGATTATGAAACTTTAGTTTGATATCTAAGGATGTGATAAGAAGTTTGTGGTAGGAATGTAAGGGGTTTAGATGAATTTAGTGGAAGAAATTTCAAGACTAGTCAAATTTGGCCTCATCTGAAAGATCACTTTAGGGAATGCATTTTAAGTTAATTAAATGATTAGAAATGATGATGGATAGCCAGATTAGGATATGGAGTAATACATTGGAGTGCATGATAAGGTTTGGAAAAGTTTAAATGGGTGTCAAGGGATAGGGAAAAAGACTAGGCCATACTCTTGCTCAATTTGGCCGACAACCATGGGTGCGGTTTTGATGCTTGGGTAGGGAGGCGTTGGTCTTACGATAGTGAAGGGGACATCGGAGCTTGGAAAGTCTATTAGAGACGTGGCCGTTGATCTATGGCCATGATCGAGTCGATGTATTTTTAAGTCGTATTATGTAGTTGTCTTTTATTATTTTATGTTTGTATTTGCTTTTGTTATTTTTCACTTTTACCCCTTACTTAAGGGAGGTTATGTGTATGCCCAAAAGGCATTGTCGTCTTTTATTTTTGAGTCCTTTGTATGAGGTTATATATAGCCCTTATGTTCCCTTTTGATGCTTAATGATTGAATAATAAAATTTCATGCACTGTGAGTTCTTTAGAGAGCTTGAAAGCGTTTGGGAGAGAGAACCCTTGGAGAGGGAATCGTATCATCCGCCAGCCTTGGAAGAGTCCGGGCTCATGGCTAGTTCGTCGTATTTTCATCTTCCTCCCGCCCCTTTCCCTTTGGTTTTCCCGCCATCATTGCTTGCAATCACTTCTTTCCTAATTGAGTTTGACTATTTTAGGTAACTCAATTACTTTACAAATTCAAATTTATTTGAATTTGAAAAGTTACCTAAAATACCAATCCTATTAGGAAGGTTTCCAAATCCCTTCATATTTGAGTTTTATTTTAAATTGGGATGAAATATCTCTTCCCAAATTTAATTCTCTACGTCAAGGAAGCATTAAATGCTTCCTTAAATCCCTCCTTAGTCCCCCTATGCCGCCGGCCCCCATTAAATCCCTTCTTGGATTTATTTCCTAAAATCAATCTCCACTCTTGGCAATAATTCAAGCCATCATACCCTTTTCTTGGCCGAAATTTCCAAAAAGCCCCACCTCCTTACTACTTTCCAAAATCCCCTCTTTAGTTTTGGAAATAAATCTCAAGCTCCCCTTCCCTTGCCGCTGCCCCTCTCTCTCTCTCTCTCTTTCCCTTCCTTAATTCCTCTCAATCAAATGGATTAATTAAGGAGTTGTTTGAATTAAATTCCCTCCACAAAATCTGAACCAAAATTTAATCCCCTAGCCTCCTTCATTGGCCGGCCACCCCTTCTCCACTTCAACTCTTGAGAAAAACTTCTTTCTCTCTAGTGGCGTCTTCAAGGGAAGCAACCACGATCTTCGTCCACACATCAACCCTTTGACACCAATGCATGGCCGATCCGGAACTTGACTATGAATATGCGTACGACGAGCAAGGGAACGTCAACATCCTCCACTCCACCTTTGACTTTAACTCGGAAGTCGATAACTCCATTAAAGAGTACGTGGACCGCATCATCTTGATGCTTTCGAAAGCCATCGACGAGCAACTTGCCAACGTCCAGTGACAAATTGTTTCAAGACAACAACAAGGGTGAGCTTCTTCCCTCTTCATTTATCTTTTTTAATCCGCTAATCTTGTAGGTGGCGATTTCATCGCAAAGTTCTCGTGCTTCGCCCTCTGCCTCCCTTAATAAACATAGGATTTGAGTGTACTTTCTATGTTGCTTTTCTCAATGTTAGATTATGTATTTTTGTTGAATAACTACTTAATTTGTATGTTGTTGAAATTCTAAATTATTTTGATAATTCAAGTGCTTAGCATGTGATTTGGCCTAAGCATAACTACCCCTCTTACATTTTCTATTTTCAATTAGTAGCTAATAGTCTTAATTGTTATTTGTTCTTTTTTAAATCGTACAAATTTTTATCGCATTCATTTAAAAGCATTATAGTCCTGCATCATATAGGCTTACGATATTAAAAAATGTGTTAGAAAGGTTGATAGTATATGTTTAGAGAAGAGTAAGAAAATTTAAAGATAAAAAAAAACCATATATCTCACCAAAGAAAATGTCAGCCCTTGAAACCATGAATCCTAAGGTCTACTGAATTAACCATTTAGGCAAATTTTTAATCAATTCTTAGATATTTGACTTAAATTTCATGATATGATTTTGAGAAAAATAAAAAAGATGGATGAGAGGAAAATAGCTGAGAGAGAGTGAAAGTTAAAATCCATATGCAAAAATGAGAAAAAAGGTTGAGGTGTAATGAATAAAAAAGCATAAGACTAAAAAAAAGATAATCACCTAATCTTACAAAAAAAAACTCTTGAAGCCATCAAGCAACAAGAAAATGAATATTAATTCTCCACCAAACTATATCATTCAAAAATAAAATTTCATTGCATTTCAGTTCCCATTTCTAAGCAAAAAAAAACCTTAAACTTCTTTTTTTTAATTTAAGATTGGAGAGAGAGAGAGAGGGAGAGAGAGAGGGAGGGAGAGATTGGCCATTTAAAGAAGGAAATTTTGATTAAAACTTCTTATTTTTTATGGTCCTTTGAGGTGGCCGACCAAACAAGATTTCAATGTCATTTTAAAATACAAAAATAAAATAAAATTACTTTTAAATAATTTCAGCATTGGGCCATAGCATGGGCCTTGAAAGGAGATCTGGTTCATGAATTTTTGCTAGCTTGAGCCTTGCCCTTGCTCTTGTAATGGGTCCAATGGGTTTATTTGAATTATCTACTTATTGTGCTACAAGAACTTCATGAACTGATTTTGTTTAGCATTTCAATTTGACTTCTAGAAGATGTACCATGTTTCATGCATAAATTCTTTTACAAGAACAATAAGATTAAAGAATTGGAGGAGCTAAGAGGGAAATTTATGATTTTCTTTCCCTAACCAGTCAAAAATGATAAAGAAAAATACAGGGAGGAGTGGAAATAGACATGTCTAAAGCAATTTCCAGATCTAGAAGACCCTCTTGATAATGGTTCAGACGGCTCCTTGCTTGAATTAGTCCCAGATACGCTACTCTGGGAACCACTGTGAGTTTGTTACTTGGGCTTTGTGAGCACACACAAGGTTACATATAAAGTAAAAGTAAAATGGAGCACATGAGGAAGAACGCGCCCCTTTGGATGCCACCTGAAGAAGAGGAGGCAGCATCCCTAGAACCTAAAAACGAGGGGATAAGTAGTATCCCATATTCCCTCACCATATTTTCTCATCTAATTTTATTTTTATCTTTATCCCTTGTATCTAGCATGGTAATTCCTCAACTTAAGGTAGATGATTAGGACTCCTATAGTCTATAAATAGAATATTCTTGACGTTGTTTTTCATACAACAAAAATTTAACAAAATTAGTTCACAACGTGATCAACCTCTCCCTCTCTCTCTCCCAGCCATTAATCTCTCAGCCTCCCTCTCCCTCTCATAACTCTCTCCCTTTTTTCCCTTCAGCCTAGACTTTTAAGGAAGAAACTTCAAAAAGATTACAAGGTACGGGATAACTGAACAAGGCAAAAATTAATTTTATGTATATTTCTCCTTCCTCCTAAATCTGATAACGATATCCTACCTTCACGGAATAGCCTCAACAACATCCTGAGATCATAAAATAAATCTCAAGTCACGAAAAGTATAGATGAGATATTGAACTATAATTCGAACTACAGGCACGCTAAAATATCTTTTCATGTCCTATCTGGGTTTGGTACCCCTGGAAGAGGACGATGCTACATCTTTCATTATCTAACTAAAAAATTAGATGGCATAATTCTGTCAATTTGCATAGCATGGGTGAATGATAAAATCATATAAAAAAACCTTTTCAGATGCTCTATGGAAGCACCACATTGCCGAAGCAACATCTCTCTTTACACAATCTCCAGTCAAATAAACAGAGCCAAGAAGATATAAAGCCCCTGGATGAAGCTAGAACAAAATGGAATGTTAAATGGGCTTATTTTAAATGCAACAGAATTTAGACTTAGGAAAACAATTAAAACAGGCAGTCCGCGTTTACCTGGTCAACTGCTTCCTCTATATAATAGAAAGCCTGCTGATCTGACTTCACATACTTATTCTGTAAATGCAATGAACAGTTTCAGATTGTGTAAAACATAAAAACTGATAAAATAAAAAAGAATCTAAGGATTAGTTAGTAAAATTCTATCTAGTAAAGATCGACAGGTACAAGTGAAAATTCTAAGGCTGAGAAGTTTCATTTCATTTGCCATTATCTCACAAAACAAAGTTAAACAAGCAAACAAACAGCTAAAGAATAAAATGACTAGAAGAGTTCATAGTGAAGTTAAAACAAATGTTATGCTGGATGTCTAAGGAATTAAGGTTCACCGTTCACTAGTCTAAAAGACTTCAAAATCTGAAAAAGAGTATAGATTTCTGCGGTGTTTATGATTAACACCATAAAACAAAAACCAGCATGCATCAAACTTTATAAGATCTCAAAAACACATATAAATCAATGTCAAATAATTTAAAATGAAGAACAATGAGAGAATCACCCATGGTAAGATCCAAGTCTCACATCAGTACAAAGAGAATCATCACCCAAAAGTTATCATCAAAACTTCCAAAAAGCTCAAGATTCCATATCCAAGAGCACACACAGGACAAATGGGGGAAATTATTAGGTGCGGAGACCGGACGCAGCTCTACATCCGGACTCCAATAGGAAGATGTCACGTTGCGACCCGACGGCCTGACTCGATGCAAATTCAATTATTTAGCACGTATTTTTCCATTTACCGTGCAGCCCAACAACCCGACCCGAACCGGAGGTAAAAATTCATCCTTATTAGTTTTTATTGAAACGTTGCAAATTAAAACTCGCACCCTTTTGGTTTACCTTGTCTAGTTTCAGCGGGTGCTCATCTTTGTTTGGAAATTCATTTTTTTTCCTCATCACTTTCTTGCTGGCATTGAAGTCATGCCTAAGTTCCGTAATTTCTTGCTAGCGTTGAAGTGTTTGTTGTAATTTTTCTGTAAATAAAACTGTATTTTTAAGGGTTTAGGATTTTTGTTTTATAAATTCGAAGTATTGTAGAAATAATTGTCACACAATGAAAATTGTTGTTACTGTTGTGTACCGAGTAGCAGATTGTGGTTCTGTACCGAGCATTGCATGTCAGCTCGTTGCTCGGTACCATGCTCGGTACTATGTTCGGTACTTTTTAGGATTTTATTATTTTATTCGAATAATTGTATAAATCATTGTCACACAATGGAACTATTTTAATATAACCGAATGTTTGTTTGGAAATAGCATTTGTAACTCGATTTAGGGTTTGTGGTTCTGTACCGAGCATGGAAGGGAAATGCTCGATATTTTTTTATTCATTGTCGGTACCATTCCCGGTACTACGCTCGATATTTCTCTAAATAAATGTCTAGGGTTTTGATTTCGTGCGCTCGGTACTGCTTGGTACCGCTCGATACCATACTCAGTACTCTGCATGGTACTGAGCGGTACTTTTTTATCCAGTGCTTACTGATTGTTTCCGCTCAGTATTTCTCTAAATATATTTCAACTGTTTATTTTGTTGTTATTTTACTTTCGCGCGCTCGGTACCGCTAGGTATCAAGCTCGGTACTTTGCATGGTATTGATTTGTACCTTTTGGTCCAGTGCTAGGTACCATGCTCCGTAATTTGCTAGGTACCATGTTCGCTATGTTCGGTATTAAGCTAGGTATCGTTCTTCCATGTTATTAAGAATCACAATTATGCAGGGATATTCTTTAAAGATTCGTTTATGCTGCAAAGCTTCCACGTTTAGACAAATTTGTGATCATTTGTGAAGTACATTCGACCAACAATTTGTTGATGTTTTGATGCCGCTACACCTTCATCACTTCCTCTCATTTCCTGCTTTCCGTCAGAATGTTCCTCTCGTCCATATGTTGCAGACCAAGTGGAATTTCTGGAAGCAGTGCTTCATAATCAAAGGAAAGAAATTACATTTCACTTTTGATGAGGTAGCTCTTATCATTGGACTACCTAAAAGGGGTACAAAATTTGTGGTAGGAGGTGGCAGGATAAGTGGGGTAACATCCAATAATATTAGACATGAGATTTATATTTTGAAGGAGTTCAACCTAATACATGATTTTCTACAGCAGTTCATAATATTCTTATTGTCCAATCTATTTTTTCCCATTGCGAACTTCAGGACACCTTCAAGTATCTTGATTGTTGCAGAGCGTGTTGATGAATTCTTAACTCACAACTGGCCAGCATCCATAAGGAAATTCCTTGTCGAAGAATTCGATTGTATTGTCATCAAGCATAGGAATGGAATCCCCCTCGGATATATTAATGGATTTGTAATATTTAATTGTGAGTTTAATGTTATACATATTATTTTATTTAGGCATTCTACAAATATAATTAATTCGCTAAATGATTGCTTGTTATAGTTGTAGATTTGGTTCCTAGAGCATACAAGAATACAACCACCATTGGATGAGCAGTCCCGCCCTCGTTTTGCTTGTTGGGACAACCACATAATATACTGTGAGAAAGAAGTAAATGTATTATTTGATGAACTTGATGATGTACAGGTATGCATTCGACGAGATGTGTTATTATGTAAATATGAGTTCCTTATGACAAACTATATTTTGCAGATAATAAACTAATTCGAATGAATAACTGAGGAGATATCACTTTTAAAGAATCCTCCCCCTCCCTCAACAGAAAAAACTTACAATGAACCTCCCCCGAAACTCCGTATTAAAATCCAAAAGCCCATAACCTCGATTAGGGGAACTAAAATACATAAGCCTAGAACCTCTGATGTGAAACTACTAGGAGTTATTTCAGAAATTAAAATGAAAAGATTAAAATTTTGCTCTTTTAAATTTAAGCTAGCAATAAGAGAGAGTTAGGAATTAGAAACTTTTAACTTGCTTAAGTCCCAAAGAAGTACAAGAGAGATTAACCACGACAATTCATTTAAAATTCAAGGAAATTTAAATGCAAAGTACAATTGACAGAAACTCAACGCTTAACAATGAGAATTTCACCTCGAGGGCTGTCTCACTCAACTATTAGTAAGCTTTAGCGGAGAAAGAAGATCCAAACGATGAAGGATATCACCACTAGAGAGAAGGCGCCGAAGAACTTCGTTGGTGGAGAGGTAGCCGGTGGGGAAGGAGGTAGTGGGCGGCTTACGAGGCTCCAATCGTGGCTTGAGAATCGTCGGTCGATGATGCTCGCAAGAATCGGGACGATTCGCTCCAAATATTCTTCCACGGTGGTGTCGTCTTCAAATCCTACGTCAAAGCACGAAGATCGTAGGATGTTGATGCTTCCATCGGCGTTGAATACAAGACCCCACTCAAGCTCGGGATCCGCCATTCAACATTGAAGTGGAGAGGGGAGGTCGTCTTCTTCTTCTCTAGGCTTCCAATCTTCCACGGGAGGGAGTAGGGAGAAAGAAGATGGGAGAGGAGAGGGGCGGCGGCTTCCAATGGGGAGAAATTAGGTTTGGCAAGAGAGCAATAGAGATTTAATCCAAAACCTGAAATTAATTTCAGGTTTAAGTGGATTTGGAGGGAAATCCCAATTGAAATGAATTTCAAATTTCAAATGAATTAAAGGGGGAATTAATGGGCAATTAGTGGAGGCCCCTCTATGATGGCCGGCGGCATAGAGAGGAGGGGGAGGGATTTGGGGAGGAATTTAGGGAGTTTCCAAAGATGGATGAGGGATTAGGAAAGTTTCATGAGATCCAATTTATTTGAAATTCAAATTGGGATCATGAATAAAAACTTTCCTTAATAGGATTTCCAAAATTGGCAAGATTTTGAAATTCAAATTTTGAATTTCAAATGGAGCCAAAATCTTCATGTCATGCTCAACCAAATTTGGAAGCTTTATGATGATGTGAGTCATCATCAAGATGATTGGGAGGTGAAGTGGATGGGCGGCGGCAAAGGGGGAAAGGCTGGACGGGTGGATGTGCTGTGGACGGGTGGGGTGAAGTGAGGAGCTAGTGTATGATGGTTTGGGAAGAAGGCTTAGGAAGCAATTGTGGTGTTGAACTTGGATGGTGGTGGTGCTATGGAGGCCGGCGGGTGGGAGTGAGAGAGAGAGTGTGGAGATGATGACAACAAAAAGAAAACCACGAGTCGAGGACTCTTCCAACGACTGGTGGGCCTTGCGATGCGCTCCCCTTGAGCTCTCTCCCCCCCCAACCCGGTACCTCACCACCTGAAAAGGACAGCCCGCCCGCAATAACCAGTAGTCCAAAAACCCACCTCCCCAAACCGCTAGATGATGCTGACCGCCAGACCATGGCCAAACTGATTGCACATAACAAAATCCTCATTAAAAGGTTTGCCAAAGTTGCATCAACATCTACCCTGCTAGAGCGGAGAGTACAATCATTGGAGCATGTTGTGTTTGAACTCAAGGATATAAATAGGAAAGTTGAAACAAAAAAAAATTCTTCAGGAAAACTTTCCGGCTATATTTAAAGTTAATGTTATAGAAGTTGATGCACCGAAGCCTACAGAGCATGAAGATATTAAATTGGTAGCCCCAGTAGCCTTACAACAAGAAGAGGTTCAGGACCCACTAGACAAAGTTGATGTGGGTAAGACAACAGCAATAATTGATTTAACTGTTTCACCATATAAAATTATAGAAAGCATTGTAAGTGCTGAACAACCGGAGCTTTCAGTTGCCAGTACAAGCATTGCAAAAAGGGTTCGACAACGAGGTGATCGTAAGAGGAAATTGGTCAAGAGCCCATTTACACCCGGTAAAAAAAAGAGTCGCAAAGACAGTGAAGTTGGTGCAGCAAAGCCTACAGAGCATGAAGATATTAAAGCGAGACATTATGTTGTTGTAGTCAATGAGGAAGAAAAAATGGATTCAAGATTAGCGTCAACTAAAATTGATTACCCATGCCGGTCAATGATATCTCAGGAGATGTGCATGTTCATAGACAGCAATTTTGAAAAATACAATGATATTTAGGAAAATGATATTTAGCCACAAGACTCGTGACCTGTCACAAAATTCATAAACGCCATACTTACCTTCTTACAATACT